TGCACACACTCTAAACTAAAGTTGGTGTGTGGACCAAGCAGCACAGATCTACATAAATTCTCTCTTCCTCAAGACAGATGAGGGAATTAGGAAATGGAAACAGTAGCCTTGAACAAACCTGTGAAGTAGCAGCCATTACTTCTGTTCAGAAGCCCTTTGTATGATTCTCCTTCTGTGTAAAAAGACATTCAACATATCTGGGGAAATTACTTCAGATGTTAGTAAGGAGAAGGTTTCAGGTTATGTCCCATATTCACATAGAAGCCACCAGTTCTAGGTGCTACCAAATTAACAACATGTACATTTTTTGACACTAATACTGACCTGTAAAGTTTAGATGGGCCAATGCACTGGACACTGTAATGCACTGTCACTCCTAGTATTTTTTTGTGGATTATAAATCCTTTTTCCTAGATTTTAGTTCAATCCTAAGAACTTTTCTAGTGTTCTAAACCAATGACCAATACCTCATGTCTCTCTCCCCCAGACTTTTGAGTCTTCTTTGCCCATGCCCATTTGATCTACTTGTGGCTTTAACTCTAGTGCAGTTTAAACAGCTCATCAGTTTTCAGTCTCTTGATTATTCAATAACCTACTGTAAAACAGGATGAAAATGTCAATGCAGAAATTTAGTTTCCTGCAAAAAAGGCCAAGAGTCACAAAGTTTGTACACAAAGACACTTTAATGCAAATCAAACAGTACTGTGTTTCATTCTAAGGTGCTCCACATCCTAAGACAATAAACATTGAGCTTCCCAGCTTTATCATCCCTTTGAGAAATTCACTTTTAGTCTAAACAGAATTTTAAAAGGACAGCTCTTTAATACTTCTTTTTTTTTTATTTAATCAATACTGTATTTCAATACCAACTGTTAAATCTTTATGAGCAACAGGAGCATATTCTGCAAATCTGTTGATCACTATATAGTACAACCTCAAAACTCTTATCCAAAACCCATGTATTCCAAAATTAGGTTTCCTCCCTCAACATGCAACATTTGAATAAAAAAGTCCTGACTTACTCCAAAAAATTCCACTGTGCAGTTATATAAACTCAGATCTCTTGACACCCACTCTGGCTTATGAAGACACAGGTTTATATAAAGGACCTTCAAGAGAAAATTAAAGATTAGTATTATTTTGCTGAAATTTCCAGAGGATTCTAACACTTCCATTACCATAGCAGTACACATAAATAAAAACACCGTGTCTACTAGATCTTCCTTTGCAATATAATATTTCTGAAGGACTATAATTGTTCTCTGCACAAGGCTGTGGCATGTTATGCTATGACTATATCAGAAACTACTACACAACCATTCCATTTTATTTAAGCATTCATAGTTACGAAAGTACCTGTGTTGAAATTATATTTATTAAAAAAAATAAATCTTACTTTAGATTAATAAAAAGTGGACATTCTGTAAGTGCAGATTCCATTTCACCATTTCTCCTGCTTGTTTGTTCTTCATTTCAGTTTCAATACCTAGTTTTTCATAACAAGCTGCAAGGTTTGGACTGTTGAAATGAAGTCTGTATTCGCCTTTAATCAAAGCACTGGTTTAAAAGATGTTGTTTTCGTATCACTAACACATTTCAAGCAGTCTCAAGTATTTCAAAACCTCATTTTTCCATCCTATGGAACCAAAACTTCCATTGCTAAACATAGGCCTTTAAAAATAATCTGAAAGCAATACACAAAATATTTCAAGATAGAATAGCTATATAGTTAAAATCAGCAACACAAGCTTTTTAAACATTAAAACAATCATCCTACTTCTTATATGAGACCTCTGGACACAAAAAGATTGTGTATTTTGCATGGTTTACTAGCCCCACATTTCTAAGAGGAGAGGCAGATTTTCAGATAGATTTTTTATTTAGCTAACAGGAAAATAAATCACATTGCAAATGCAGTGCTGATGCCTAGATTTTCATGCTGACAACCATGGTAAGTACTAAACTTCTTGCCCTTTCTTCTGAGGCTTATGTTTATACTCAGTGTCATTGCTGAAGGCCGATATATGTTAGCTAGTTTTAAAATAACTATCTTGGGAAGCTCGTTAAAAACAGTACTGAGCTCTGATTTGCTGTGGAAATGCTGTTACAGTTTACACAGGAATGCATCATCTTTGCTCACAGCCAGTGGAAAAATCTTCAGCTCAACAGAAAGCATGGAATTGCATGATATTGTGCTAAGGAGTGTCACAATTTCTCCAAAATTTTAAATCTTTATACCCAAACCCAGCAGGAACATGTCTTCACCTAATCTTCCATTGGCACTTCGGGATGAAATTCACAGGCAAATCCCGTATCCATCTCTGGAGAACATCTTGCAGAGAAGGTAAGGTGGAGAGAGAGCAGGTAAAGACAAAGGTGCGATACATGGCGTGCAGTTTTTTCTGTGCGCTGTGTGCATTTCAGGGGAGGGAAAGTCTCTGTGCAGCTGCATGCAAAGCAGTTTAAAGGCAGAGCAGAAGTTATTCCAGCAATCGGTCTCTGCCATGCCTTACCCACCCCAAGGGTGGGCTGTTGCAGCCTGTGAAATGACTCAGCCAGGCAGGGGCACAGCATTATTTCCAGCATATCCTGATGAAGCACCTCAGCTTGAAGCTGCAAAGGATTTTTCCTTACCGTGGCTATTTGATGAAAAAGATAATGGTATCAGGCAGCTGGCTGCATAACAGCCATCTCTCTCTCCTCAGAGGGAAAAAAGAAAAAATGACTTCACATCAGACTATTACAAATACTAAAAGCAGAAACACACAGAGATTTTACAAAATACTTGCTAGACAGCGCAGCACACTGACTAAAAGAAATAATTTGAGTACAAGCTTAATAAGGCAGGGTAAAATATCCACCACCTTACAGATAATGACACTTGGAAAATGAGTCTGCTGTGTGTGATTTCACTGATGCCTGAGGGAGACAAAGCTCTTTCTGTTCATGTTTATCATACTTTCAGTCAGATTGCTGAATAATCATGTTTCCTTTATTTTAATTGGTAAGGAAGCTATTATACAGAAGGTGTTTCCATATGTTGCAGTTAATAAAGGCAATTCTTACTAATAAGAATAGGTTGTCTCTGCTCAGTTATCTGATGAAAAGCCCTCCTGTTGTGAGGAAAAAGCAGATCCTGTGGGTAGAAGACTCTCAGGGCTGCACGCTTCAGCGTCTACTGGAAAGAACCGTAAGCTGATGAATCCCAGGTCTTCTCCAACCGAGTCCAAATCAGTGACAGTCACTAGGGCATTTAAGGGTACTAGGAACACTTCATGTCATAATCTCTCCTTCATATTCATCCTTTTCTTGCTGGTGAAGGACAGTGGACAAGACCTGGATTCATCACTCCAGAAAATCAAAGCAAGTCCCTTCAGGAGATCAAAGTGCTTTGTTTTTTGAAGAAGCATCTGGGTCACTGTCTCCAGAGCTTCAAATCCTCCATGGAGAGTATGGCTAGTTATAATCTGAGATCACAGATGCTTTTTCAGGCTGAATCCATAAATCATATGGGGGGGAAATAATTTTTGAGGAATCACCCAGAGGTGCGAGACACCACTTAACATGTTTGTTTCTAACCATAGAGCTGAGTGCACATCCCCAACTAGATGAAAACCTCACATTTACATTATACTGTTAGAGCTACCTAGTAAAGAGATATAGGAAAAAAAAGTCTTGAAGCTCATCTCAGCTTAACATGATGTGTTTGGTGTCTGGCTACCTCTTAAAAAAGCCATACAGAAACCAAACCTATTGAAGGACACAACTTGCCTCAGATAAGCAACATATCCCAACTAGGTTTACACAGCAGTGCTACACACTGGTTGCCTCTTGATTTCAAAGTAGGGCACCTCTAAGTACCTGAGTAGAAAAAAGGCCTGCCTCAGTTGCCATTCCCACTTTCGAGGGACTGACAGTTTTCTACAAGTAGTTTCAAAAGGCACATCATCTCTCCATGGTAAGTATCCACCTGTAACCTTACAATTATGAACTTCAACGCATTGTGCAAGACATCTATTTATCCAGACATATCAAAATGCAGGAATTATTTTGTGGAGAGACATTTCTAATAGGAAATACTCTATTTCTTCATGTATTCCTGGGAAAGGCGTTCTGCTGGTTTTCACTATTCAGAATAGGCTTCAAGAAATGCAAAAAATACCCAAAGAAATAGGTGGATGCTTGCAAATATATAGACCATGGGACCAGTTCCTACACATGCAACTAGTCCAGCTGCATGTTCACTGCCACACATAATACTTTCCAGAATTTTAACCAAAGATAATATGGCCAGCATCTTGAAACGGGTCACTAATTATGGGCACTTCTAATTCGGTCTAAGTTTCAGAACTGCTGAACAACTCTTTGCCCTCATTTCAGGGTCTGGATGCTCAGCAGTTCAGAAAATCAAGTGACTCAAGCCAACATTGAAAAACATGAACACCCAAAGTTTGCAGCTGTTTTTGAATATGTAAGCCCCTCAAGGCTAAATCCCAGTTTAAAAGACACTGCAATAGTTTTGAAAGCTGCATATTTTTGTAACAAGCCACTAGAAGGCATAGACAAATATGGTGGGTGGACTCTGCATCCATATTCCTTCAGTGTGGTCAGCGCAAACAGTCCCCCTCTGACCAGCCAGTGCTGATGACTGGGAACAGAGAGGATAGCAGGACAGTCCAGGAGAGACCTGCACAGTGAATCAGAAGCAGCCCTTGCAGAGACAAGGGAAAACAAGGGCTGCTGTTGGATCCTGCCCCGCACACAGAACCCAGCCACAATCTGTCTGTAGAGTGTTTCGGTCTCAAAGATGCGGAAGGTCCCATGGTATCTGTGTTCACAATTAAACATGATTCTGACATGACTATGGTGCTGATGCTGTTATATCTTCAGTGCATGATGGTTCCTGGCTCTGTCCGTGCCTGCCTATTGTTCATGAGAGACTTTGTCTTTGCAATGATCGGAAAACAAGGTGTTCTGGAAGCTCTTTTCAGCTGTTATCTGGTGAACTTCTTACGGATTCTTCTGTAAGGAGGGGAGGAGGAAAGGAGGGAAAGAAGAAAGAGACAACAGAAAAGATAAATCTCAGTCTTTAACAGAAGACTGCTCAAGAGCTAATAACACACATAATAAATACTCTTACCAGAGCAGGAAGCCTAATTCATGGAAAAGAAACTTGCAGTCAACAAGAGTGAGCCCTGTCCATCAACTGATGATTCACAGTTGTCTCCAACTAGTAACTGATAATTGCTTAGTGGTGTTAGACAATATGTGGATGATAACATTTAATTATATGAAATCTGGGGCCAGAATACTCAAATGGTGAATCCTCACATGTGATATCAACACAGTAATGAAGGACCACAGAAGTAAGAACCTCATTCACACCCAAGTGAATGTGTTACTTCTGTAAAAGTGATGGACTGGGAGCAATTCTTATTGGCACTGTATCAATCCTGCAGATAACGCATGACCAAAATCTCTAGGCTTTTTGTACTGATGTCTTACAGATGCAGTAAATTCACTTTAGACTTTTAGATGATATATCAAACATATTAGCTACAGGCAGCCATAGTGTTTGTAGTGCAATCTTATACATCCAAGGATTGTTAATTCTGAAGCAAAAAGCTTTGTTAAGTTCTAACTGCTCTGTCTCTCTACTCTTATAAATCAATAACTACAAGGCTGAGTGTATCCAGGGTAGAGTATCAGAAAACACAGAAATTACACACACAGAGTATGTCAAGAACCATCTTCACTGGCAGAGTCCTGAATATAGACATTATTGGATACTGTCCTATTTTCTGAATTCACTCAAATTGAGAATCACATCTTCTGTTCAGGTAGTCTTTAAAGTTACAGAGATTTTGATCTTACGGAAATGAATTAAAGCAAACTGGGGGCTCTAACACTAAATGAGATAAGCTTTCTAATTCAAACTTTCCGAGATGAAAATGTGACCTGACTACAAACTACAGGGTGGTGATGTGCCTACCTGCATCAAGGCTTTGAGATGGTAACTCAAGAAGTGATTTGTCCCTTTCATCTTAATGGGCTGTTAACTCTGAAACTGAAAAATGGTGGCGCACAACACTGAAAATACAGAATCAGCTTAAAATAAATTATACTGAATACTAAATTAATGATTTGCATATTAAATTTCAAACACACATTTAGTTACTTGTTAAGTATTCCCCTGGAATGTAAGCCTCCAGTTGAGTAACTGAGCCACAGAAGAGAACATAATCAAAGACAAAACAGAAAGTAAAAAATGAGGAGAATATACTGTGCTGTTAGAGGTAAAAGGGAGCCTGAAAAATACACCTATTTTGGTTAATATATTTTAAAAGTGCAGAGAAGTATTAATTTTAGCCGCCTGAAAGAAGGACGTCATCAGCATCTCATGGCCTGGAATACCAAATTAGGATTTAGCATCATTCAGTAATAAGCACAACAAAAGAAAAGGATAGGAACTCCAAGAAAGTTAAGTTTAGGCTTTTCACACAATCCCACAGAGACACAAACTTACTGTTTCAGTACTTACTTTATGTGGTCATCTTAAATTAGGCCTAAGAAGATATTAAACTGATTGACAAGATACTGCATACCTTCCAGAACGGTAAGATCATAGAAATGTAACCCGAGAGTGGTAGAAATATATATTTCTAAAATAATGAGACAGCTAGGTTTTATAAATTCATGTGAATAGAACATAGCCATTACCCACACTGATTATTGATGGGGATCATTCCGGAAAAAGCTTACAGAACTGGATCCCTTTTGATATATTTGTTTGCAAAACTCTGTATTTATTTACAGAACGAATGTGGTCATTAATCATTTGGGAAGCCCATGGTTTACAAAAATATTAGATAATTGTTTGCCCTTCTGAATTTTTAATATAGCAACTTCATAAACTGCCAAGAGGTTCCCATGAACCATGAAAGCAATTTGCAGCTGACACTAAATGCAAGGAGAGTAAAGTATTTGTGATTTTGATTTGTGATTATTTTGTAAAGACAATAGTTAAAAGATGTAGTTATTCTCATTAAATGCTGGTTTGAAACTGGCATGAAGAAAGGCAGAACAAAAAAGGGGGAGGTCATCACATTATTACATCAAGCAAGCCACAAAAAGAGTCAACTCCTTACTTGGTATAAATGAAAGTAGCTCTACATAGACTGTCAGAAGAACTAATCTGGTATGCACTCTAAAAAGACAATCCAGCACTTCTATTTAAACAGGATTGTGAAAATGCTTCCAGAAATTAGCTTTCTGGGATATAGTCTTTCAGAAATAAAACTGGAAGAATGGAAATTTCCACTGACTTCATTAAATGTAATATTTAAACAACCATTTCACTAAAAGCCAAAACTGTTCTTCTTCCTGCAAAAAGTACAGAGTGGAGGGAACTGGTTTACACTGAAGAATTTAGCATCTAAATACAGTCAAGCTTTTTCAGAGGTGCTGATCAGGTTTTATAATGCTTCAGAGGTTTTTTTAACACTTAAACATGCAGGTTGTAATAGTAGCTGATGAAAGGCAGGAAATTCAAAGATAAGGTTGTCGTAGCCCTTTCACCGGAGCGCTTTGACACACTCTCCTCCCTCCCCCAGTGATACAGTGAATTAAGGGCAGAGTCACCTTTAATGTTCAATTTCCTCTCCCTTTTTCAGTTAGTACCAGCCATATGTTTTAATTACATAAAGCTTTTATTTGGTGATGGCAAGTAAATGGCTTTAATATGTGTAGCGTTGATAACATCCTTTGCAGTTGTTATGAGAGAGTAATTGCCATTTTCCACTGCTTCTTCCTTTGACTTTTGTACTAGTTACAGACTTCATTTGAAATGCAAATTAAAAAGTATTTTAAAGCCTTTGCATTGTATTTCTACCCCTCCTGAGACCAAAGGTATGAGAATGAATCAAACTTTTAATAGGTGATTGGTATATAAAGCCCACTGTGCTCATTTTTATGTCAAATGTGATTCACTGCCACTAATATAGGAATAAGACAAATTCTTTATGTCTGCATGATACTTCAATTAGTACCTGCAGATAAAAGTACGCAAGACCACCCGCACCTCTTCAGGGAAACATGGAAATGCACATAAGTACCACACACTATTAAGACCTATCTTCTCTTTGCAAGTTTCATGCACAGACTGGAACCTACTGGGTAGATATAATAGTTAGGCTGTATAAGGCATTTATGCCATGCTTAATTTTAATCAGGCAAATCACTTCAATGAACCAGCACTTCTGCAGGATCTAAGTGCACTTCATGCAACTAACCATCTGGTGAAGTTAAGTGCAATCCTATATAATCTGCTATGTCCAGATTTCTCAGGAATAGGACAGGTGGTAACAAAATTTCTCATTTGTGAAAGCTGACTCAAAGATCCCTGCTCTAATTATACTACACATTGAAACAGCAGCAATTTTTAAATAAAATAAAGCTTATGTTGGTCAAGAATGTGTTTTTCAAGCCTTTTTTAATAGCAGTTATAGGCATTACTTGCTTTAGCTCTGCTGATATCGAGTGTATCTCTCTGTTACTGTTTCTATATATAAACTGTTGTGCATCAGTCTGCCGCCTCTGCATTACACTCAGTTGCGGTAAGAACAGTGATTTTGGTCTATTCGCCTATACCAACAGAACTTAGGAAGTAATACTAAATAAATTCAAGTTATGGCAGAAGTTTTTACTGTGAGAGAAATTAATTGCATGTAAAGGCCCATTTAAATTTTATCAGATGACAAACCTTGTTTTGAAACCGTATGGAAAGAAACAAACATTTTCCTGTGAAGGGCAATCACCCCCAACACACACACATGCACACACTTTTGAGGTGTCTCTAACCCTTCTTAAATACCAAGGTGCTTTTGATGCTCTGTTTCCACTAAAAATACAGTAAGGACCTAACAAAAACCTGGCTACAGAGTTTTAAGACGAAGGGCATTGTATTGTGTTTCATGCTCTATCTAGATTAGTTTGATATTTTTGCCCAAGTCTTTCTTAGACTGATGCCATTTGAGTGACATCCTTATATACAAAGACCTAGTGCTGTGGAAATGTGTTATTATCCAGTTGTTGCTGGTAGCACAAAGGAACATACACAGGTTTGCAGCAGGTATGGGAGAACTGATTCCCTGGACAACCACAGCTGAAATGCCACCTCATCGCTAGATTGGAGTAAAGCATCCTGGCATGAGTTGTCAATTGTAAACAGCCACTTAAATAAGCCAGGTGCACAAAATACTGCCAACCACAAAAGAAGGTAGAATTTTAGACATGTACTCAATGATCTTATAGGCCTTTTTCAACCTAAACGATCCTATGATTCTGTAAGACGAGGTTTTGCATTCTGGCACAAGTTTTATGTGAAACTTGCAATCAGTCTGACCATCGAGACATTCAGAGATAAAAACTAAACTAAAAAAGAAAAAAAAGTCTTCTAGACAAAGATTCATAAAGTTGCTGCTGCTCCAGGACAATGTAAATTTTGTGCAATGTAAATTTTCAGTGCAAGCTCAAGGCTGGTTAGCAAAAACAACTATTTCAAAAAAACCCATCATTCCTTCGGGGTTATTGGACTCAACTATCACTCATTTCTCTGAGGGCTTCTTGTATCCAGAGGTACACTATAACTATTCAGTGGATTCGGTTACAAGAGGGGGCACTATTTTAGGAGGCTGATAGGCTTTCTATTAATTTCAACAGGCTTTTAAACAAAGTAAAAGGCCAAAATGCGTGCAATGCTGTCTGCTCAAAGAGAATTTAACTGGGATAAAGCTGTCGGCACACATGCTTAGAAACCTGACAGGTTACAGAGATCCTGAATGACTCACAGCACTTCCTACATTTCTCCCTGTGTGGAAATGAGAAGTATTTTATTTAACTGTCTATTTGGCTTGCTGGTTTAGACATTTTTTTTTTTTTCCCTCAGCACTCTGAGTCTAAAGCTCTCCCATACTCCATTAAAGTTTTAATCTAACCTCAAAATGACAGAAACTAGGATAAAT